CCGGCCGGGCTGGGGAGGCGAGCGCGGAGCGCGGCGGCGGCGGCGGGGCGGCCACCCGGCGGCCCTCCGGACAGGCGCGCGGGGCCCGATTCTGAGCGCGGCGGCCGGTTTCCGCTCCGAAGTTGGCGCCAGCGCTAGCAGCCGCATTGGATCCCACGGCCTACTGCGAGACTCCGGTGTACAACCCGGATCTCTGCCCCAACATGATCGCGGCCCAGGCCAAGCTGGTCTACCACCTGAACAAGTACTACAACGAGAAGTGCCAGGCGCGGAAGGCGGCCATCGCCAAGACGATCCGCGAGGTCTGCAAGGTCGTGTCCGACGTGCTCAAGGAGGTGGAGGTGCAGGAGCCGCGCTTCATCAGCTCGCTCAACGAGATGGACAACCGCTACGAGGGCCTGGAGGTCGTGTCCCCCACCGAGTTCGAGGTGGTGCTGTACCTCAACCAAATGGGCGTCTTCAACTTCGTGGATGACGGCTCGCTGCCTGGCTGCGCGGTGCTCAAGCTGAGCGACGGGCGCAAGCGGAGCATGTCCCTCTGGGTGGAGTTCATCACTGCCTCGGGCTACCTCTCGGCGCGCAAGATCCGCTCGCGCTTCCAGACGCTGGTGGCCCAGGCGGTGGACAAGTGCAGCTACCGGGACGTGGTGAAGATGGTGGCGGACACCAGCGAGGTGAAGCTGCGCATCCGCGACCGCTACGTGGTGCAGATCACGCCGGCCTTCAAGTGCACCGGCATCTGGCCGCGCAGCGCGGCCCACTGGCCGCTGCCGCACATCCCCTGGCCGGGGCCCAACCGCGTGGCGGAGGTCAAGGCGGAGGGCTTCAACCTGCTGTCCAAGGAGTGCCACTCGCTGGCCGGCAAGCAGAGCTCGGCCGAGAGCGACGCCTGGGTGCTGCAGTTCGCTGAGGCGGAGAACCGGCTGCAGATGGGCGGCTGCCGCAAGAAGTGCCTCTCCATCCTCAAGACGCTGCGCGACCGCCACCTCGAGCTGCCGGGCCAGCCGCTCAACAACTACCACATGAAGACCCTGGTGTCCTACGAGTGCGAGAAGCACCCCCGCGAGTCGGACTGGGACGAGTCGTGCCTGGGCGACCGGCTCAACGGCATCCTGCTGCAGCTCATCTCCTGCCTGCAGTGCCGCCGCTGCCCGCACTACTTCCTGCCCAACCTCGACCTGTTCCAGGGCAAGCCCCACTCGGCCCTGGAGAACGCGGCCAAGCAGACGTGGCGGCTGGCGCGCGAGATCCTCACCAACCCCAAGAGCCTGGAGAAGCTCTAGGGCCGGCGGGCCGGGCGCCGTGGGCACCTCCTGCCCGCCCGCCCTTCCTCCGGCCGCGCCCACGGCCGCTGCCTTCAGAAGGATCGGCGACGCGGTGCGAGGACATGGCCGCGCCGCCCTCCACGGGGAGACGGAGGAGCGAGGGAGCGGGTGGCAGGAGCGGCGCCCTGCCCGCCAGCGTCGCCGGACTTTTCTGCACACGAGTCCCTGCCTCCCGCTCCGAAGGCAGCCCCGCCGCCAGGCCGACCGCGCAGCCTTGCAAGGGCGGCAGCCATCCGGGTGGGCGAGGCGCCCCTCTCCGTGAGTAAACACGATCTGGATGTGCCCTCGGAAGGAGCGTGTCATGTACATGCCGACTTGTAGCAAATATTGTGATCTCACATTGTCTTTGAAAGTGTGGGTGTTGGTGTTTTGTGACTTGGTGAAACAACTTAAACTGCCCTTTCGGATACTTCCAGACATCGTCCACTCACACAAATGTCATTTAAAGGTAGATTTCCTCCTGGTTCTTTCATCTGTCTTTCAGAGTGTCTGACTTTAAAAGTTTACATTTTGTTTCAAATATTGCTTGTTCTATTTCTAACATTCCATAAATATACTTGAAATGTTATTTAAATATATTCAAAGAAAGTTGAATTCAGCTTATATAATAACGCTTGAATATCTGAATTATATATTTGAAAAATGCACTTGAAATACACTGGATAATTACTTTTTGATTTAGAATTTAATTTCTGTTGCTGGTTTTTATTTAATTAGATGGTAATAAATGAAGTAAAATAAAAGTTGTTGTGTCTCACTTTAAATTGTTTTTTTCTCAAAAGATGTAATGATTCACTAAGAAAAACAAACCCGCTTGAATATTTTAAACGTTTTCAGAAATATACTAGTGAAATTCTTAAAAATAAAACCTTAAAATATTGGAGAAACGCTCTTTTTGTGTAGCTAAAGAAGATAACAAGCTACTCTCAGTTTCTAAGACAATTCCTTTCCACATCATCCACAATTTAAGTCAGCCTTTGAAAGCTTGGTCTTCTGACTAGTATTTTTGTAGCACTTTTTATAAATAAGGACAGAAAATTTATCATGAAATAGAGATTACTGAGTTAAAAATCAGACTAAATAACAAAGTTATAATGAAGGTTTTGAAATTTATATGTAAAATCTAAGCTAATAAAATAAAGATCATTTCTTATCATTATATTTTACATCAAACCTTATTTTATGCAAGAAGGGTTCCATCAGCAAAATAAATTAATCAGAAATTTTAAAAATCCTTTTTACTTCATAGGACAAGCTAATGATAAAAGCATAAAGACAAACGACTTAAAAGAAAATATCGTTTTTAAAATTCACTGCTTTTGGAACTGGAAGTAAAAGAAGTCTTTTGTGATTATCCTTTAGACTATTTTAATAGTCAACAAGTGCTGAAAGGGCTGAACACCCATGAGCCTCAAGTTAAGGTGGGTAGTGGTTAAATCTCAGAATTTCAGTTGCTAGTTTACAAATACTGTCTTCTGCTTTATTTCAATACCTAAGTTAAATATAATAAAGTTCTGGCTGTGTGGGAATACTTGTCACTGACTAGTTTAGAACAACTGCCTCTGAAAACGCTTCAAAGGAAGATCTTTGCATATCGATGCAGAATATCTAGCATGATATTTAATGCTCTTGAATTCTTAACCTCAGAAACAAAGTTTGCTAATTGCACAGTAACACGAAAGTTAAAACAATAAAATGAACCCTAGAAGAAAGTGTTGAGGTGTAGAGCTACTCTAATACTCAGGTGCTTAAAATCTACACAATAAGATTTAATAAGTAAATAGTTATACAGTTAAAATGGCCCACATATGTATTTTCTAACATTACATCCAAAGAAGACTCCAACCTTTAAAAAGCATCTGAGTGCCATTATATGCGATGTATGTACATTTTAAATCAAAGCTCAGAGAATCAGTTTCTTCCCTCTTAAATCCACATGAAAATCCATTTTTATTTCAGGAGAAGGGAAAAATGGATGTAATAATGGTGGTGAAGTTATAGCTAAATGGCTTTCCTCCACTTTCCTTGTACCTTTCCAATAAATAATAACTCATGATGCAGCTTATCATTTCGAAAATTAAAAGGGATCTTAAGAAATCTCATAGGACTTTCCTAGTCAGTCTCCAAGAGCCAGAGATGCTGCACCCCGGGGACCTGGGAGCAACTGGCTTAACTGCCAAATCTGCCCAAGTGCACACAAAGGCGCCCGTGGAGACTGTTACAGTGTGCATGCGCTGGTAAGAAAGGCCTCAAACTCATTAATATAGTCTTCAATTTCTCAAAGAGGGCATGTGTTATTTCACTCATTTCATTTTCTGTGAAAAAAGGGCGAAAGGGCTCCCCTCCCCCAGTCACTTAAAACCAGGCAGTGCTGAAAACCACTTCCTGCCTCCACGCCACCCGTACTGTACACGGAATCGCTTTAACTCACTTTGGTGTCGATCTTCTTGAAGGCAGGATCATCCTCATCTACCTCGAAGTAGATTTCTGTCGTGGTGATGGAGAGCGTCCCCTTGGCCACCACCACGGGAGCGATGAGCTGGGCAGGGGTGCTGAGAACCACCGGGCCTGCAAGACGAGGCACTAGTCAGGCTGAGCCCCTGCGGCCTTCCCGTTCCCTCCCGGAGGGGACCCCTGGTTTTTATTTCAAAGGTGCGCTAGGAAAAATGGTGCCTAAGTGTGCGGAAAGCTCTTTTCGTGTGAGGTCAGGTCTGCTTGACTTTTACACGTGGCCTTGCAGCCGGACTAGAAAAATAATTCTGTAAAAGCCCGAGGGGTCAGGTACCAAACGTGCACCGATCTCTGCCTGGAAACCCCGCGTGGCCGGCGGGCGCTGCCGTCCACCCCCTTGGACGTGCAGAACGGCCTCTGCCGGGCCCGGTTCTCCACCGGGCAACGCCGGCTTTCCGGGGTCCCCGAGACCAGCCAGCACCAAGCCCCTCCGCTCAGCAGCCGCCCCCGAGGATGGGGAGAGGACGAGAGGGCGCGGGTCGACACCCAGATTCCACCGCCCGAGAGGTCTGCATCTCGAAGGAAGATGTATGCCCCACTGGCGGCCCAAGGTGCGCCGCCTCCGTGCGCAAACGCTGGGCCATTCAAGTTCTCGGGCAGAAGAAAAAAAAAAAAGGCACGAAAATCTTAGCATCTTCCCAGAGAATGGCCAAAGGGATGAAAATGCCAGACGCTTGAGTGCAACGATTCTCAAGAAGCCCGTGAAAGCGCGATTTCTCAACTTTTGGGAGGAACCAAGCCTCAGTAAACGTGCCTGCTGGGTGTTTGGTTCGAATTCCCTCAACCCGAAAAAGGCTGAAAATCACGAAATTCACGTAGCAGAAAAATTGAGAGGAGGACCCCTGGAACGCGCCGTTGAGGTCCCCCAAAAGGGAGGCATCCTTCGCGATTTGGAGTTCACGCACGACGTGGAAGTCGGACGCAGCGTGCAGGGCTTTCGGCGGCCGGGCGCACCGCAGTCGCTTCAGCGGCCCCCTCGAGCCGGGCAACCAAACGAGTCCCAACGAGAGGAGGACGGAGACAGCGACAAGCCGGGCCCCCATGGCCGCGCGGGCCTCGGCCGCTCCGCGGAGACCGGCTCGCGCTGCCCCGCCTCGACGAAGCCCTCAGACCCCCGGGCGCGCAGGCGGCGGCGGCGGCGGCGGCAGCGGGTGGCCCCGGGGCGGGCGTCGATCTGCGGCTCTCGCCA